GTCTTTTTTTCATCAAAGCTTGGTTCAAACGCTCCAATTGCTGACAGCATATTTGAGCATTAATTGTTGCATTAGGTGGTAAGAATTCAAAGTCGATTATTCCTTGGCGATCCCACCAGATTGAAAGAAGAACCTTTTGCTCATGAAGTTCCCTTCTCGGTTGTGACTGGGGTCCTTCCCCTTTACCTAGCCACTGTCTATGACGCTTAACATTTTGATGAAAGATCCATTTTTCGTCGACAGTCACAAGTCTATCCAAAAGAGGTGAAACAAGTTGGCGAAAATGGAAAGAAGAGCAGATGTCAACTCGGGACTTGAGGTTGTTTTCAGACAATTCATGAGGCACCCATTTTACAAGTTGTTGAAGATGACGATGAACTGTTGTATGGTATGAACTGAGAACCACTGCCAATTCCTCAACTGATAAAGCAGGATTTTCTTCAAGGGTTGCTTCAAGAAGCTTTTCATCAAACTCAACTATACTTTCGGTTCGATCTTGATCTTCAAGGGTGAAATCTCCAACTCTGAATTTTGCAAACCATCTTCTACAAGTTCTTTCATTCACACATTCCTCTCCATAAACTGAGTGAATGTTTCTAGCCGCTTCGGTTGCTGAGTTTCCTTTCTTGAACTCATAAAGCATTATGTGCATCAAATGATTATTGTGTACTTCCATGTTAGCAGGGTTTTAATCAAACAAAATTTAAATTTATTGTTCTCTGAAATAAAATTTGATCAGTTTAAATGCATCTAAACATAAAAATAATTTTCAGCTCCATTAGACATCGTGTCACCATGTATAGTTAGCGAGCTGAAAAGAAATATTCATAGATATATGATTTGTTTTTTACGGTTTGTCAACCATTTGAGAATTATTTAGGGCTGAAAAATATTTCGGGGTTAGGAATTATTCTTTCTTTACATTCAAGCGATCTGGGAGAAAGAAAGTGAATACAGAAGAAAAAGAAAAAAAATAAATAATACGAAAACAGGTCAAAAGCGAGCACACACACGCTCGACTGACACATAACAGATGTCGGAAGATATCCAGGTCAAGCACCTGACCTACTTCCGTGTCCACGAAAAATGGAAGTCTGTTATCAAATGGTTGAAGAAACGAAGTTTAGAGACAATGAAAAATATGATAGGTAAAGGTGGGAAGTGTATCTAAGGATATGAAGACAAACCATTAATACGAAAACACAGACAATTTCCAGAATTGGAAAAAGCCACACAAGATGATGTTCGCTGAAAATGTTTTTTTGAGATAATGAAAATTTTTATTATCGGGCCTTTGGCCGGAAAAAAGAGTGAAATATTATTATTCGTTCACGGAAAGGCCAACAGGTCTGAGAAATCCCTTTCTTAGGTCGTATCCAATTAGCGATAAACTGCTTGACAAATACCACGTGTTAAAAAGCCGAAGGTGTCATCGCAGTCGCTTATGATAAGGGCGATTTAAATTTTTATTTTTTTTAAGCAAGGTGTTTCTTCCCCAAAGCCACGGATTGTCCACGCCCGACTAAAGACGTCATTGGCTAGATGGGACCACATGACACACGAAGGAGCAGGAAAGATACCCGACCAGGACCTCATTGGCCGAGAGCGGTCACGTGACGCACGAGGAGAATCGGTCGACGCCCTTGTCAGAAGTGTAAGTGTAAGGGGTCGATACGAAGAAGCCGGGAAGCGGGTATACGCCCTCAGAGACACAATAAGGAGGTGGGAGTGAAGGTGAGTTACCGAAAATGGAAAATCCCTAACCAGAAATAAGATGGGTGGATACGTATTTAGAATTATCAAAAGAGAATCCCCGACGCCAAACAGACCCACCCAAGTTTTTGACGGCGTCAATAAAAGCGAAACCCCAAACGACAGAAAAGAGATCAGCCGCGGACGGCGAGCGGATGAGAGATCAGCCGCAGACGGCGAGCGGATTGGAGAGTTGCAGCCGCGGACGGCGAGAGAGAGTTGCGCCGTGGACGGCGAGAGAGTTTGAGCGCGGGCGGTGGGCCCGGTTCATTCGCCCCCTTGCGGGCAAGAGAGGCCAGCTCGTTTGGAAGTTAATTCGCGCACTGACGGCGGAGATGAGTGACCAATAATTCAGACTCTGAAGAACAAGTAGTTTGAGAGCGGACGGCGAGAGAGTTTGAGTTGGAGTTTGAGCCGTGAACGACAAGCAGAGATGAGCGCCCAGTGTTGAAACCGCGTCAAGATAGCTGACCAAGATTCACGCACACTTCTGGACTCTTCTTCAACCAAGAACAAGTAGTTTGAAGAGCGACTTAAAATCAGACCACAGAAATAAGTTTTTTTTTTCGACTTTCGTCCAAGGACACGCCGAAACACAAATTTCTTAGAGAGCAGACAACTGGAAGCCTTAAAGTTGCCTAGTAAAAGCGTCGTGCCACAATCCACAGAACGGGTCGGGAAGTAGACATAGTCCTATGTACGGAGCAAATAGAAAAGTTTGTTACCTTTTTCTTGATACGTTGGACCGTGTGAGTTTTTATTTTGTTTCTTTTTTATTATACATAATTGTGTGTTATCACCCCCGTTAGACTCAACTTGCATTACGGCCCCAAGCCCTGCTTGATCTCGTCTGTCTAAGATCAAGTCACAACATGGGTAGGCAGACCGGAGATCAGTACAGTTACCCTGGTAACCAGGCGTTGGAAGCGGGTTGGGAACGACGAGGCTGGTATCAATCTAACCAAAGGGTTAGAACGTCACGTTTGGAGCAGCGAGGAGCAAACAGCTGACGCCGCGACAAAAGACGTCACAACTGGTGCTGTCCGTGACCAGGATATCAGAGCCTGGGGAGCACGTGACGTCACAATTGGCGCCGCGAACGGAATTGAACGACACAGTCGACGCTGCGACCGGGGGACGACGTCACAACATTATAAAATACTCTTTAAATTTCGTTCATTTTAACAAAAAGTTAAAATTCGGACAGAACTTATGGGATGCCCTTATATATACACACAAAACACACATATATATATATATATATATATATATATATATATATATATATATATATATCAATCAATCATGTGTGAAAAATAATATATTCCAAATATCCGTCGAATTTGAAAGAAAAGAAAAATATTCATTAGACGCTTAAAATTAATTCACATTTAAACTCGGTCCAATTGTTGGAACACGCTAAATAAAGTAAATTATTTTAAAACTTAATATACAAATAAGGAGAATAGGAAACACTTCTGAAGCGTGGCTGTTGAATAATCTAAGTGAGATATTTTATATTTGTATTTATCCCATATATATATATATATATATATATATATATATATATATATATATATATATATATATATAATAAAAAGGCTTAAACACTAATATTCCATGGTCATAATTTACTCCATTGGAATCGTAAATACGATCCAAATCATCAGACCTACAAATTCAAAATGAAAACAGAAAAAACAACTCCGGAAATCAAAACAGAATTTAGAGAAAGTGTAAGTATGAGGAGGAGGGAGATGAAACCTTAACAGAGAGAATTTTAGGAGATGTGGGGGGGATTTAAAAAAGGAGAGAAAGAAAGTCGACGGATGTCTAATGCATAAAGATACATTTCGTGGTGACATATACACACCATAGAAAATTAGAAGTTAGGAGGTAGGGAAAAAAAAAAAGAAAGAGAAGAGGTGGGGGAGAGAGATGGGACAAAGGAAAATAAAATTGTGTTTACTTAAACGGCCGCTTTGTAATTGATAAAATTTGACAAATTAATATCGACTACAGGTTAGAAATCAAATATAAATATATGAAGATGAATATAGCGATTGTCTAATTTAATATATATATATATATATATATATATATATATATATATATATATATATATATATATATATATGGTTTCAGCATGATAGTGCTCATCTTCATGCTGTTAATGTTACCATGCCATCAGGCGTCACATTAGGTGCAAAACTGATATGCAATGGGCACCTCATTCACTTGACCTGAACTCCCAGATTTCTTCCTCTAGGGATTGAAGGCGCCATCTCTGTGAAGATTCAAGCAATCACCCAGGAGGAATGTGCACATGTTATCAACAACTTTGCATTCAACAGCGCCTTCAACTGAACGATGGACATCTGAAGCATGTGCTCTAGGGCTCCAATTTATATTTTTGGTCCTGTTTGAAACTAAATGGTTGCAGATGCTACAAATGCAAAAAATGCTATCTTTTTAACTTTCAATACATGTAATTTCTATTACTCTATCATTTGTAATCCCTGATTTGTGATCGATCATTTTGTTTCAATAATTTCGAAAACACTCTGTACGTAGTACTTCCTGTTTAATAGTATTTGCATCTGCATAATAATTATTAACTTTGTTATCATTGCATCTTTTTTACCAGAGCTCATATTGCAATTTTTGGTGTTATTATCGTTTTTCTCTGGCACTCCTTATTACTGGTTCCCATATTGTATTCATTTCTATTCTTGTTCGGCTCAGGAGATTTCTATGGCCTAGCATATGTGCTGATTCCTATGCTAGGCCACAAAAATCTCCTGAGCCGACCAAATATAGAAATGAATAAAATATGGGAACCAGTATCATGGAGTTCCTAAGAAAAGTGACAATAACAACAAAAATACCTTAGTCTCTGTTTTTAGCCATGAATTCTTCAGTCACAAGAGCTTTGTGTTTACTTACACTGACATCATTATATATGAGTTTAATCGACCATGTATGTTTTTCATGTTTTATAATATTAGCTGCATTTGCTTGTTGAGTATTTCTATTTATTTGGCTCCCAATGATACGGAGTTTATTCAAGTATTTATTATTTTCTTTATAAATGGATTATTTCTTCCTTTGCACATGACTGTTCGGAAGCCAAAAAGTTCTCTAGATAGTTTCTAACCGATTGCGTTTGTTTTATGAGTCAACCCAATTTGGATTAAGAGCTTACCACTAATTCTAGAAATTTAAAGTCCGTCAACATCTACTGTTGGATGATGTCTTTTATGTCAGGTCATTCATTTTCTTTTAATTTGGGGCCCGGTTTTCTCTTATTTTAGTCATAAATCAGTTGATAATATGTAAACTATAATAACTTGTTTTACTCGAGAATTTATAGCCTTAATCCGATTATAAGCCCTGCGTTAAGTGTTACTTTTCTGTTGGATTCCTTTTTAGCATTTTATTTATTATCACTGTTTTAAATCTCTTCCTAATCTAGTGGATTTATTTTAGTTTCTATATGGGATTAGTCATCTTCTCAAGCTTATCTTTATGCAAACTGATAATTCTGCGTTTGCTACATTTTCTTCAGATTATTATTATTATTATTATTATTATTATTATTATGCTTTTTCCATCGTTTCTCAGTTACTTAGTACGTACGTTACGCCATGCCAATACGTCGTAATTCCGTTTTAATCGCAAGGAAAGACAGAAAAAGTCGCTGTTTGATTTAAGAAAGAAAGAAAACAGGTGATTAATGTCTCCTTTAGTGAAGTTGAAAGGGTTGTTAATTTTAAACTTTCTGATTTACATCCTCGTATTTCTATAAATAATGAAACTTATTCATACTTATTATTGTTAAATTTTAGGTTCAATTCATCACTTCTGCTATAGTGGAATTTCAATTAATATTTTATAATAGCAAACCTCGTTTAGAATCTTATTCAATTAACTCACGAATTAATATTCAGCAGAAGATTCAAATAAGAAAACCGTGAAATCATCACTCTCATTTTCAGTTATTATTATTATTATTATTATTATTATTATTTCCTTTGATTTCTGGCGTTTACACATTTCTTTCCTGGTCCCACCCACATGCCTAAGGTTAGAAATGACATCATGACATTTTCCACTGACAAAAAAAGTATTTTACATAGATAAATCCCTTTGTATGGTGTGTGCTGTACTTGTGAGAACAATTTTTTATCTCTTTGAGGCATGGACTTCTAGGAATTCCTTCAATTAGTCTGCTGCAATCTTTTCCAACCAGTCCTAGGGCTCCAACTACAACAGGGATTGTTGATGTTCCCATGTGCCACATTTTTGAGATTTCGATTTCAAGGTCCTTGTATTTTGACAGCTTTTTGAATATCTTCAAAGATACATTGCAATCTCCAGGGACTGCCATATCAATAAGGAGGAACTTTTTTTGTTTGTGGTCTCTAATAACAATGTTTATTATTGTTATTATTATTATTACTATTATTATAATATTCTTACAAGAATTTCATTTTTAACCAGAGATTGATGTTCTTCCTAATGTCATACCCTATCAAATAGAGAAGACCTTTCCCAAAATGTTTGCATTACCAAACAACAGAGAAGCGATGGATTAAGAGATTTTACCCCTGTTTTTCTCAATATAGACATTTACATTTGCTTTTATAGACACCAACACCACAATGATAGCTGGGTCATTCGTGGCCTTTATGTGTAACATTCTGGCAACTTCAATCCGGGTCTCGATTTCTGACGCCAGTCAATTTCTTTGCCATTGATATTAAGGTCACCAGGATCAACTGTCGAAGAAATGGTTATTTTTCTCCTTTCTTTGTCAACAAAGTTGATGTCTGATTTGGTGCTTTCCTGTACGCGGGCAGTACCTGATTTGGTATTTTCCAAACAATGCCTACAAATAATAATCATTAGATTGAGAATACTTCTCGGATTCTCCTGACTAGTTGTTTCCAACTATCTCTCTCAGACATCGCTGTCGGCAGGTCCTCCAGATGGCATCCAGAATCATCTAAAAGTTGGTCAATGTAGGTGTGATGAAATCTTCTAACCGATATTTTGCCGCGCAATGTGTTCCATAGGAGAGTGTCACTGACAAGTACTGACTTACTTCTTCAGGAGTGACCATCTAGCTGAAGCCTTCTCTCTCTTACCGACCCTGAGATAGGAGGAAGCTGATGTCCAAAGCAACTCGTATCATTTTGAATATGTTCCGTCAAATGATGTTTCTTGGTGTTTTGTCAGTGTCAATATTGTTGAGCCGTAGAGCAAGACAGATTCTACCGTGGCATTAAAGAAGTCCTTCTTAAGTTTCTCAGAGAGACAGCACTTCCAGATGGTGCTAAGACCATCAAGGACACCTCAGGCCTTGCCTTTGCAGATTTTGATGTCTCTCTCTGTTGAGTGGATATTGCTGCCGAGGTAAACAAATTCCTAACGGACTTGATGTTGTTGCCGTTTTACAACTTAATTTCTCCTTCTTGGTTTTAGCTGATAAATTCTGTTTTGCCAGCATTAATTTAGAGACCAATCTCGCTGGTCGCTTCTTCGATAAGTTGGAGATGTTTGGTAGCATTATCAACCGTGTCTGACAAGGCAAGGTCATCTGCGTAACCTACGTCTGTTATTGTTTTTGCTGGTTTACGTAGACTTCTTGTTTATTTCAGTAGATACACTTGCCCTTTTCCATTTCATCCTCTGCTTAGATTCACAATTAATAATGACACATTATTATTATTATGATTATTATTATTAAACCTTCTTTGTATATAGAAACAGCATTCTGAAATTCACAAAGTGTGTGTTCGGAATATGAATAATTTTCAGGTCATCATTTTGATCACCATTAACTATTTTTGAACACGGTAAGCAGCTTTCTGGAAATGCTTCAGATTTGGAACCCGTGCATAGTGAAAAGTGAGAAGAAATGATATAATATCAATTGTAACAAGGCAGAATTTACAGATGTCAGCAAAATTAACATCCGAATAAGGGAACAAATAAAATGGAAACACGGAAATGAAGCAAGTTGAAACATTTTAATATATGGGAAATCTTTTAGCAAACTATTGAAGATGCCACACCAAAATCCAAATCGTTATTGGAATAATGAAAGATATCTTCCAAAAGCTAATCAAAATATTAAGAAAGAGTATATTTACCGTGGAACAGAACTCTGAACTGTTATTTAATATCGGTTCTCTTAAATGGAAGGAAATGATGGACAAACAACTCAAAGATGAAGATGAGACTTAATGCCGCAGACGTTTCGTTTGACAGAAGGTTTCTGAGAATATCATGAACTGAACATATGAATAACGAGTTACTTTTAAGGAAAATCGAAACAAAATGTATGATTATACTTAGAATCAAAAGGAGACAGATCTGGTTGTGTTTGTTTCTATGTTCAAGAATATATTCAGCTGTAGAGGTAACTTTTTGTCAATGTTTTTGCTTTGTTTCTATTGCAGTGTTATATTACTATATTTCAGTATTTTGGTTTATGTTCAACTACAAGCTTGCTTTTTATATATATTAATATAAAACTTTCCTAATATTTTTGTAACATAATAATAGCTTGCTTAAGTATAGCAACAACTTTTTTTTTTGAATAAGCATAGAAGAAACTTGGGATGTGACTAATTTGTCCCTTTATATTTATATTATCATATATGGTACTTCTGTGACAGTTCCTTTAAATCATAATTCTATCGTTTATGATTTATTTTGAGTTCGTTCTGTTAGTTTCATTTTTCATTTGCTTCTCATTTTTATTGCCCTTATTCTTCATTTATCCCATTTATTTTTTAATCATTTAATCTTTATTAAAAGTGTCTTTATTTTGCTTTCTTCCTTTTAATCTTTTAATTGTTTCCATTCCGAAAATTTTAACACTTTTTTCCATTTACGGATTTATTTAGTTTTCCTTCGCCTTTTCTATTTTTTTTCTACTATTGTTAATGTCATTATTCTCACACTTAATGTTTTCATTCATTTTTTTTTTCCATCTTTGTGTTCTTTTATTCATTCATTTTTTTCATTCAATTTAATCGATCTAAGTTTAATTTTTTTCTTTCACTTTCCTTCTTTCCATTTATTCTTCCTTCTTAACTTCTTCGTATTTCATTATATTTCTGTTTTATTCCTTCGTTTTTCATTATTTTTCTTCTTTCTATCGTTCAGTCTTCGATTTTCTCTTAATCTCTTTTATTCTTTCGTTTCCTTTCTTTATTATTCTCTCTTTGATTCCTTCTTTTTTCGTTTTCTGTTATTTCTTCTCATTTATACATATATTCATTCATTATATCCTGTAATTTTGCCAATTCCATTCTAGTTTGGTAATGTTCGATTTTTCTTTTTTTCCATCTTCGATCAGGGAACTTCTTTGCCTTTTTGGCATTGCGCCACAAACGAAATGTGTGTTTTGTCTCGTCATATTCTACAATCAATAATCATTTAGCTAATAATAATCAAACTAATATTATTGTTGTGGGTAGTGATGTATTCTCTTCTTCATTATTTGACCAAATATGCACTTATAAACATAATTCAATATTACTCTTTTAACGTAGAAATTCGACTGGTTGAATTCGATAAGGGCTGAAATGTAGGCGACCGGCGAAGCAAGAATTGATTGAAAATAACTTTTCAACAAACTTGTAACATTCGACGTTTTAAATATTTTCTGGTTGCAACCATTTTTTAGTCAGACTATAGTGTTTATCAACAAGCGATTATTTTAAAAAAATAAAACATTTGTGACATATTAAAATGATTTAAAAATATATACTGGATCCTGGGATAGATGAAAAGACAGATAGATATGAAGAGACTCAGATAGATAGATAGATAGATAGATAGATAGATAGATAGATAGATAGATATGAAAAGATTCAGATATATATATATGAACAGATAGATAGATAGATATGAAAAGATTCAGATATATATATATGAACAGATAGATAGATATCAACAAACTTTTGCTTGAGTGTCTGCTAAAGAATGATCCTCCAATGGACTCCGATCTTGAACAAAAACAGGTTAGAGTGAGTAAATATTCAGGAAGAGGCTGGATGTTTCTCAGCCAGACGCACGTCCAAAGATTTACCCCCAAAACTAATTATCAGAGTAATTTTCTACTAGATTTATAGTGACTAATACTGCACAAAATGATTAAAAGTATTAACATAGGGAAAAAAATATTTTAAATAATATGTGACTTTATATTTCTTTAATGTGTGTGTGTGTTTCTGTGTGCATGTACTAACGATTTTCGAGGTAATCTATGGTACACACTCATTTAAACTGAAGTAAATTACGGGCAAGCACTTGAAACTGCTTCTCAGTTAATCTGTGCGGTAGACATCTGATTGATTCAAGCCGAGATCGAAAGTCGATCGACTTCCCATCAGCCCGAGATTCTACCCGTACGCTATCGGCGGACGACTGGGAAAAAGAAATTTCAACGTATGTGTGTGTGTGTGCGTGTGTGTGTGTGTGTAGAGAGAAAAAGAGAGAAATGGTACAATATGGAAAAAGTATTTTTAATGACAATGCATTTCGCTCTCGATTGCTAGGTCAGAAATACAGAAAAAACTTTTCTTTTTTTTTTGTATTAAATCTATTAATGTCTGTTTTTAGTTGTAATCTTCCGATCGTAATAAAGGAATAAACTTGCATGTATTTTTTAATGTCGTGTTTTCTGTTTTTGCATTAAAGCCGTAGATTTCGGAATTGAAATTAGCCAGTTAGAGAGTTGTTCTCTGACAACAGTATTGAGCTGGTGTTAATTTTAAAATAATCGGTGAGATTACGTATCAGATTCGCCTTACGCTTAATTTTGAGAACTATGTGATCAGTGCACTTTCAATGTATTTACGTATAAGTTAATCCTATTCACTTTTGGGTAAACTGATATTCAGGAAACAGAAAGCAAGATCTGTCCGACGTTTATATATATATATATATATATATATATATATATATATATATATATATATACACACACACACACACACACATATATATATATATATATATATATATATGTATATATGTATGTATGCATGTATGTATATACAGGCGTATATAAAGTTCTGTGCACTTTCAAAAAATTATAACTTTATTTGTATTATGATAGAAATAATCTGTAAAAAAATGTTATAAATTTAAAAGTTTTAAGTATTAAAATAACTAATGTGATTTCAAGCATTACTGTAAATCAGTTGGCAAATGTTTTCCGTGAACTGCAAAATCGTATTGCCCTTTGTATTGCTAACGATGGAGGACATTTGGAAACTTAAATAAAATTTCAATAAAAACTTAGACAATATAGATATACTTCTTTCTAATCCTTTTTTAAAAGTGCACACGAACTTTATGGATCCCCTGTATATGAGTGTGTGTGTGTGTGTGTATGTATGCATGCATGTATGTATTTATATTATTGGATTTAGGAGAAAATTGGTTTGATTTTATTAACCAGTAGTAATTACATTTACGACCTGAATGGTCGATATATTTCGTAGATCATATATGCAACCCGATAGAAATCGAACCTGCTGCCTTCATTGAAAGCTTCGTTAGATCTAACGTGCCGTTACCATTCAGCCACAAAGAAGCGCTCGTTTGCAAAGTTCGAATTACAGTTTATAAACACATATCTTCGATGATTATTCTTGACCGATCATTTATTCTCACGAAACATATCTTAACGTAAACAATAACACCATTTCTCTAACATTCACTCAGCTAAATTTAATTAATACTGTTTAATAAAAAACAGAGCATTTACTTAAAAATTATATCTATGAAAATAACGTATAAACAGAAAAAAATTAAAAATTGCCAGACTTAATACACAAAATAATAATAATATATATATATATATATATATATATATATATATATATATACATATATATATATATATATATATATATATATATATATATATATATATATATATATATATATATATATATACATATACATATATATATATATATATATATATATATATATATATATATATATATATATATACACACATATATATATATATATATATATATATATATATATATATATATATATATATATATATATATAACAAATGTAAATGGATATAGATCCGACAGAATGAAAAAAATTTGGAAAAAAACAAACAAAAATCCTTAAATGCAATTATATTTGTTTAAAAATGAATGAAATGTCACGTCGACGGTTTTAAAGTTTTTTCAAGACAATATTCATTAAAATACAATTCAGTTCAATTTTTTTATGTCCATCGTCTTTGTCAAAATGAATTGTGTATTTTAATGAATATTGTCTTAAAAAGGTTTATTAAATACAAAACGTCAGAGTATATTCATTCCTTTTAAACAACATAATTCATTTAAGGATTTTTGTTGTTTTTTTCCAAATTTTTCTTCATATATATAAATATATATATTTATATATGAATTATTGGATTTAGTAAAAAAATTCACGTCGTAACTGTTCAAAAAAAGTTTTTGCCCTGTATGTGTGTGTGTGTGTATGACTGTGTGTTTCATCTGTCCGCGTTCTTAGTGTTACGTCATTGCTTTTGCTGGACTAAGAGAAGTCAAATAATAACAATTCAATAATACGTGTCTAAGCCATTAATTATGCACCTCTTGTGTCTCTAAAGTCTCATCAACTTTTAGCGTCTTTCATTTGAGTATTTATAAATGCACCGACATTTAAGCCTCTTGTTGAAAGTGTTTGAAAGTTATTTCATTTTCAAGTGCTTGCCCGTAATTTACTTTGCCATAGATTACCTCGAAAATCATTAGTACATGCACACAGATACACACACAGAAACACACACACACACACACATTAAAGAAAGATAAAGTCACATATTACCAAGAGTGAATAGGATTAACTTATACGTAAATGCATTGAGAGTGCACTGATCTCATAGTTCTCAACAATAAGCGTAAGGCGAATCTGATACGTAATCTCACCGATCATTTCAAAATTAACACCAGCTCAATACTGTTGTCTAGAGAACAGCTCTCTAACTGGCTAATTTCAATTCCGACACATGTTTACGGCTTTAATGCAAAAACAGAAAACACGACATTAAAAAATACATGCAAGTTTATTCCTTTATTACGATCGGAAGATTACAACTAAGCAAACAGACATTAACAGATTTAATACAAAAAAAAAAGAAAAGTTTTTTCTGTATTTCTGACCTAGCAATCGAGAGCGAAATGCATTGTCATTAAAAATACTTTTTCCATATTGTCCCATTTCTCTCTCTCTCTCTCTCTCACTCTCTCTCTCTACACACACATACGTTGAAATTTCTTTTTCCCAGTCGTCCGCCGATAGTGTACGGGTAGAATCTCGGGCTGATGGGAAGTCGATCGACTTTCGATCTCGGCTTGAATCAATCAGATGTCTACCGCACAGATTAATTGAGAAGCAGTTTCAAGTGCTTGCCCGTAATTTACTTCAGTTTAAATGAGTGTGTCACATAGATTACCTCGAAAATCGTTTGTACATGCACACACAGAAACACACACACACATTAAAGAAATATAAAGTCACATATTATTTAAAATATTTTTTTCCCTATGTTAATACTTTTAATCATTTTGTGCAGAATTAGTCACATGAATCCATCTTGGACTGGCCGAAAAATGTTCTTTTGATTTAGACGTAATAAAACAATTAAAAAAAATAATTGCTTAATTAATTAAAACAAAACAAGTCTTTGTTCTTGTCCCGTGTATTCTTTATACATACATATATATTTTATTATTAAATGGAAGTAGTATATATATATATATATATATATATATATATATATATATATATATATATATATATATTATTTTGTAAGTTGTGTGTTCGTGTGTGTGTGTGGTCTGTCGTGTGTGTTAGCTTTTGCCTGTATGCGTGTATATATTCCTTCTCCATATCATATATTATGTTAATGTAGGAAACCTATATAGTGAACATGCATTTTGTATAGTGCGTTTTTGTATGATATATATATATATATATATATTTATATATATATATATATATATATATATATATATATATATATATATATATATATATATATATATATATATATATATATATATATATATATATATATATATATATATATACATGGAACATCCTATCGTGAAGGATAAATGAGGGTTAGCAGTGGATGGTGCCTTTTGTTTTACACTTATGCATGCTAGCATGGGCAAGTGTGGAGAAAATCAGGCAAGGGAAAGACATATCCTATTTGTGCTTTCTTATGTGCGATACTAACCCAGCCATGCTGCGGGCGACAAA